ACTGAGGGGATGTCTCCATTTTAGAAAAGAACAGCTTTGGCATAATTGCATAATGTATTATGCTCCATAGGGAGTTGCCACATCTAAATATTCTCCATGACCCACGACCCAGATCTTTGGCAGGGTGCTGCTAGGTACAAAGACCCCCCTCATAGAAACGTGTTAAAAATTCATTCCAAATCCATCCACTGGTCAGAGAATTTCTAAAACTTCCCTTGAAAAATGAATTAAGTTATGCAGAAAATAAAAGTGGGGAGAGAGCAGGGGTCCTGTGTACAATGCGAAAGACATAGGATACCCAGGATCAAAGCAGTCCCTAGCTAGCCAACATACAAAACACAGGTGGTGGAAAAAAGGAAGTGATTTGGGCAAGTGCAACTCCTGTAATCTCTGAGAGAGACATCAGTGGTGACCATTTTAAGAATGTCCACGATGGAAATAGAAGAAAATAGACTGTATTAACAAGGAGTGCTCTGTGTGTGCTTGGTTTTCTGGGCAGTTTCTGCGTTCTGCAACACCCACTCAGCTCCAGCAGGGGGTGCCAACAGAAAACTATCACAAGCAGCTTTTTTCTTATTCCTTCAAGAACAAAACCCAAGTCCCATAGTAGCTTTGCAATCCATTCATACGCTCAGAGGGAGCATGCCAGGTGCAGATGATGGTCTGGATGCTCCTAGACCTGGTGGTGGGCCTTGGTCAAACCCGTTGACTGCCCTACAAGGTAAATAAGAAAAAATGGTTAACAAGTAGCACTGACTAATTATACCTCCTCTCTAACAGGATTATGTTAGTCCTAAAATGACAGCAAAGAAAACCGATTAACTCCCCAAACTCAAGCAACAAAACCATCCATTTATAGTAAGTTCTATAGAGAGAACTACAGTAAAGGATAGTGCTCCACACAAATAAAAAGCCATTTAAAAAACCAAAAAAAAAAACAATGTTAATATTTGGGGTTGCTTCACTGTGAACATGTGAAATACATAAACCCTTGGCTCATCAAGAAATACTGTTGTCTGGTCATCCAGTCACAATACAAATAGACTAACTTATTTTAATATGGTTAGCAGCTTCCTTAGTAACCTTGGCCTCCTATTAGTCAAACCAGCTTCTGTTTCCATTGCTTTGTCAAGATTCAATTTTGATAAAGATGACACAGAAACTTGACAGAGTGACTGCTACATACCCCAAAGCTAGCCTACCTGTAAATGTGACAACCTCTTTCACCGCAATTCAGATTGACAACATAAACAATTATTTTAAAAGACTAGCAGGATACTAAGATGCTCATAATCAACCCTTTACAAAGTTGTAGTAGATCAAAGCTATGACTGAAGGATTGCAGAGTACCGTAAGTAAAATAGTTTACTTTATAGAAAAACTAGTTTGTATATATACAGTTGCAGCAAGCTATGCTGAGCTTTTTTTAAAAAAAAAAGTGGCATTGTGAAAAAGTATTACATTCTCTAACCTTTATATATTTCAAACAAGTCAGCATAAACTGCCTTTTGTCTAATTTTTTATTCTCTCTTTTCAGAGTGACTAATTTTTAAACTATATTTTCCAGAACAGACACAAAGATGTGAGATTTTGTCTTGGAAAATGGATTCCAAAGTTCTAGCATGATTATAATACATAATTCCAGGATCCCAGTCTGACCTACTCCAAACAACTAATAGTTTGCACAATTCTTCTGTATCTGGTATTATTTTCAGGTTTGAGATTGTTTTCAAATCTTAAAATGCATTGCGCAACTATATAACAAAAATATAAACGTATCACTGAAATGAAATTCTAAATTCTGACGAAAAACATTTCCCCAGTAACATTACACTAACTGGACCCTACCTATTTTAATCAAGATTGCAGCTAGAAGCTATATCTCAAGTAAGGAAATTTATAAAGTATGGGTTGGAATAGAATCAAAACTGTTAGCCTATATTGATCAGTTGTACAATTCATCAGCTCTAATTCACCAGCTATAAAGCATCAAACTTAGCAAGTATAACAATGACATCCAAGAGCAGCTGGGTTTTCCCAGAACAAGCTAAATGATAGTGATAAAAATATTGGATATTTTTTTCCCTATTTTCCTGGTACTCTAAAGCTACCCTGAGAAAAGTAAAAAGATCCATTCTTACTATTAAACAATGAGGAAGCCACACTGTTAAGCAATACAAATTGTCAAGAACTGAAACACAAACAAAAAAAGAAAAAACTGTAATAAAAAACTGTAATTGAAAACACCTATCCAGCTACACTTGAGACTATAGATTCCATACCAATCAACTCATGGCAGGCAATAGTACTAATAAAGACTGCTAGTAACACAACGTATAGTATCAGAAAGAAGACAGAACAAATGATCCACCAGATCTCCCAATTTATTCAGTGGAAATTATGGTCACTTTGCAGAAAACTGTAAAGAAATCCTTATGAATTATTTTTTTCTAGAATGAAGTGTTTTAAAAATTGATCTGGTACTCGTCAACTTCTATAATTTAGTAAATTATTAAAAAGTTGTGCTGCAAGCAGTTATATAACTCTCAAAAGTTTGTTTAGATGCCTGCAGATTAAAACAAGAAACAAGCAAAGCATGCAAATATTTTGTTTTAGTTAAGTGCCCATTCAATTCCAACTTCTACAATAATCAATTACAGGAGCTTCCCATATGCCAGACAGTTACTTATGCCCTAGTTAACTTGCAGCTTGATTGTGGCAATTCTGTGTCTACATGGGGCTGCCCTTGAAGACCACTTGGAAACTTCAACGGCTCCAGAATGCAGTGGTGTGGGCAGTGAAGGGCATGTCTCAGTATGCCCATATGCCACCCTTATTCCACAAAGTACACCATTATGCTTATGGGAGTGATTAAGCTGCTTTTATGACCTGTTTTATTTGAGGGACTGCCTGTCTTCTGTGGCTAATGAGAGCCGATAAGGTTGGCGAGATTCAGATCCCTTCAATTAAACAGTGTTACATATATGGGACCCAGGAACCATGCCTTCTCTGTAGTAGACTCTGACCTCTGAAGTGGAATTCTGCTGGTGGCATTCTATACTGATGGCATTCCAGAACGCCTTAAAGACCTACTTGTTCTCCCAGGCCTTGGGTTAGAATGGCTGGAGCCCAATCACATGTTTGTATGTGTGGAGGCTGTTGCCATTTGTTCTTTATTTTTCTTTGTACTTATCTTTTCTGTATTTATTTTGCACATTCTGTTTAATTTTATTGCAACTTGCTCAGTGTTAGTCTGGGAGTTGGGTTGTGCTTAAATTGAATGAATAAATAAATGATAGTAACTATATAATTCAATGCCTCTATAAAATAATAATCTTATTCATGGTTGAGCCTTAACTAACATTGTCGTTTGAAGACATTTTTGAATCAGCTTGTAAAAGTGATTATTCTTTGTGGTATGTTCACCAGTCACTTTTACCTCATGGTGCTGATCTTTTGGAATATTTCTTGGTATCACTGATGGTATAAAAGAGATGGTTTCAAATCACGAAATAAAACATTTTATCATAAAATCCTTGGTATCTGTTTTAGATTTCATTTTGCCTTATTTCATCAAGGGGCCAGAAGAGAAACAAGCCTATATTTAAAAAACAATGAGTCAGTAGTTCACTATACAGGTTATGATATATTTGTAGCAATTATCAGAATTCTATATTAAATTTATATGACATTTGTCAAGCTTAAGTACTAATTTATATGAACTATATGAACTGATAGGAAGTCCATTTTTCAAGTTTAAAATGTGTAAGAAGTATTTACTTTGCAAGATAATTTCCACTTTGCCTTTTGAAGGAGCAGATTTTTTATGCCTTCCAAATGTTTATATAATATACAGTTCAATCCAATATATACCATGTGTTCCATTCAAGTAACATGCATAGAAAGGATCAAGACAAAATTAGAACTTATTAATGAAACTCATATTAGAAAATTAAATTCAAAGAGAGGCTATTAGGCTAATAATGTCAATTCCAAATCCATTATGGACAATACACATAAACAATAATGATCTCCAAGCATAAAAGCAAGCTCATCACACCAAACCAGGCACAATTACCCATGAAATATGTAGGGAATCTGACCTAAACATATGGGATAGAAAAATAGTTTAAAAAGTATCCTTTTTGTCCAAAACATGACTGAAAGTTGGAAATGAATTTCATTTCACAAATGCACAAGTAGTTTTGATTTAGAACCCAGTTTTTCAACCATAAAATGAGTTGCTTTCCATATTCTAACACAGGATTGTTAGATTCTAGCATGTTGTCCAGATTCAGGCATATTTATCATGTATATGTCTGCCTTTATTTTGAGACAGAGAGCTCTGACATTGTTCCTGGGATGTGTTTGAGCATGGTACTTCTCCAGCTTCTCATTTTCCTTCTTTCCAATGTTGCTGTCACAGTTAGCACCACTACATCACCACTATTATCTTCTGCTTCCTATTAATACTTTGTCTATTATCACAATGTCTGGTTGACTAGTACCTGCCCATCTGTCTGGATCTGGAAGTCCCACAGAATCTTAACACTCTTATTCTCCACACCATCTTGCATACACTATGCAGAGGTTCCTGTAAATAATGCCAACTAGTTGGTTGTGCCATTCAGGGTAAGCTGTTTTTGCCTGATTCTATGTACATTTATATATCCCTAGTTAATTCTGTGGAGATGAATTCTGTTAATTCATCAAGATAATTGTTTAGAATATTAAAAAATGGTGCATTAATGCCAAGCTAATAGAAGATAATAATTCTGCCTTGGGTTAAGACCAAAGAAAACACCCAATTTTACTTTTTTTTCCACAACAAGGTCTAAAAAACAAGTTCATTGTGTCTCAGCTACCATTCATTAATTCAAACATGCACTTCAAACTCCTCCTCAATTTTCTTAGTTCCAAGCCTCAACAGCTCTGTCATCAACTTAAATAACTTCCTATGCAAACAGTGCATTCTGCTTGTAACTCTGACATCAGCTTAGTATACATCTTATCATGCTGAATTAGCTAACATGTAACTCTATAGAAAGCCAACAGAGAATTCAAAGCAAATAACACAATAGCAGCAAAGGCTGCAGTACAGCAATGAGCAAATTACCTCAGTCAGTCCCACCACCCAACTATAGGCCATTCATAAGGCAGCAGCAGCAGATTGGGTCGGGTCCATAAGCAAACGTGGCTGTTTCAGGATCCAGCGACAATTGGGGGCAGGGAGAACACTACAGGGGCTATAGAGAGAAAGAAAGAAAAGGAAGGAGGAGAAGAACGGGCATGCCTGAGCTCACTTTCCATGTTGTAAGAAGTTCAGCCCTAGGCAGTGATTATCATCCGTTCATACTCGGATGCTCAAATTTATGAACATGTTCTGGGTTGGGAGTGAAGGCAGCAGATAAGACAGGAAGTGGAAGCAACACGACAGGAAGAGCTACACAATACACAATGCCATGACATATCAACACTAACCCAAAGCAGAAGCAGTGCAAAGAAATGGATGTTGATGCTTGTGGATCACTTAAATAACAAGATGTTTACAATACTTGGGTTGCTGCTGTTTTAACTTTAAGTGTATTTAAGTAATCTCTGCTTACCATGTGAGGTTTGCACTATTTATAGGAGAACTCCAGTTATCTACTGCAATGTACCTTTATTTTTTACTCTAAATGAATGCTGACTATTGATAAGCACAAAGTTCTTGTATGCTACATCAAGAGTGCATAAGAAAAGGGATTGATTACTGTCAGACTCAAAGATGTTTAGTGGTTGCAGAAATGCATGCTCCAAGTTAAGGGAGACAGGTTTTCCAAAGGGCACAGAGTGAGATCTGGAAGAAGCCAGACTAACCAACATTGTAGAAAGCATAAGAGTAACAAAAATAAATAGATCTTTATGCAGAATGAAGGGAAAAGATGATTAAAGAAAAATGCTGCAGCAAGGAACAATATGAAATACATGTACTGTATGTTTTGAATGCTTCTGATGCATCAATTGCTCCTTGTATAATTTTGATGGGAAAAAAATCAATCCAGCAAACAGATTTTAGAAGTCACTGATAAGAGTGAGCTTTTCCTAGCTTATAATTCACTTATATTATGGTTTGGGGGGGGGGGCTTTTGTTATTAATTTTGAGCTTCAAAATTCAAGACTCTGCTAGTTTGAATTGCTAGACTTGAATTGATTTTAACAGTAATCGTATGAATAAATCATTTCTATCCTGCCCATGTGCAAACAGCCAAGACATATTCTTGTTCTGCAAGTTGCACAGACATTTGGCTAGGCATAAAAGGAGCCTACAGAGACGTCTCTCCACATTCTTCCTTATAATATTTTGAGCAGCTCAATTTTTAATAGGGATTTATTATTCATCAGTCCTAGATAGCTATTCATGCCAAAGTTACTGCTTTTATAGAGTCTGTGAGTGACTATCTTTAAAAAGTACTTGCAATGTTCAGTATTTGCTAGTACTTGCAAAGGTTCAGGTTGCACTCTAATTTTGCAGCAACTTTCTTGGCTGATTCTTAGTTTAGTCTTTGGTCAGATGTAAAGTACTTCTTTCAGTTTTAAATTCTAAATATTATTATCCGAAAACTTTAAGTAGCAATTTAGGTCTTTAAGATATACTGAAACCCATAATTTGAAATACAATTGTGAGGAATAGCATCAGTCTGAGGCATATTTGCAGTACCATCAAAACTGAAACTGCCTTGAAAAATAATGAAAGGACAATGGAATCTCTCATCCAATATGCATTTTTATTTCCTTTACTCGATCATTTGCTTATTCTATTGCTATATTTAACACTATTCCTAATCAGTATTTATAAGATATCTATATTACTTCCAGTTATCCCTAATTATTTAGATGATTATAGTTGGAATCATCCAGAGGTAAAAAAAATTAAATAAGCTCGTATCAGAAATACTGATTCTGAAGTAAGAATCAATAAAGAAAAGGGAAAAAAAGAAATATAGGAAATCATCAATTCAAATAAAGATGTGACACAGCCACAAAATATTTTAAACCTTGCGACTAATTATATATTTCTTGGGTAGATGAAAACAGTATTCTACAATTTTAATGAATGGCAGTTGAAAACTTCAATGTTATTTATTTTTAAATATTACTTATATTTGGAAGTCAAATGTAAAGTGTAGTTAAGTCAAGCAATTATGATTTCTTTTTGTATGAGATGACTCTTATTGTTAGGAACATTTTTCTCATTCATAAAAATGTTCAAAGTCAAAATATAAAGTTGTTTGGGGCTGTCTTGTCATCTTTCTTGCAATGCAATCAAATGGAAGATATATAAATTCCCATTTTTCATTCATTAAGGAAAAGGTATAACAAGCGAAGCTGGAGCCTATGCCAAAATAAAGATAAAGCCAGTTTGATGCAGTAGTTAAGACATTAAGCTAAAAACTGGGAGATCATGAGTTATAGTCCTGCTTTAGGCACAAAGCCATCTGGGTGACTTTGGACCAGTCATTCACTCTCAGTCCTATGAAGGAGTCAATTGCAAATCATGAGTGTAAATCTTGCTAGGAAAACTGCAGGGACTAATCACTACAGACACAAGGAGTCAGAATTTATTTGAACAAAAAATAAAAAAAGATGTTTATGAATCAAGGAGTGAGGAAAACCTTATGCAAAACAACTCTCTAAAACTTCATGTAAAAACAAAACTTACGCTTTGTCATAAAATGTTGTATGTCCTGGATGACAGAACTTCATGCCATTGCTGTTGATCATACTGCTATTTATGTTTCCTGCAACATATGATTTACGTGAAGCCTGGTCCTTTGCAAAGTTCCTACAAGCAGCTAATTTGGATTCTAAAGCCTGAGAAGGAATAAAAACAAACAAACAGAATGTTTGGGTGAACATTGAGAGAAGGTAGAATTATTAGGAGCCACATCACAATGAAAAGTATAAAGAATCACTTCAGGCAAAATTATTTGCTAAGAAATATAAGTGCTCTTAACATACATTTTTGGTTAAGAACTGTTTAAAAGTATGCCCATTAATTGAAACTGGCTTTCAAATATTCTTTCACAGAGAAACTATCTAAAACAGCAACCAGTTATTTAATATCCATCAATATCTTTAGTAGTGGAAACTGCAATTTGCATACTAAGAAAACATTTAAAAAATGATACAAGTATTTGCAATACAGGAATTGGGAGTGGAATATTGAAAATATATGGACCTCTCTTTACTGATTGTAAAGTATGAGATTTGTAAAATTTCATGCAGTGTGTATCTTTTAACACAGCCATGAACTTTTAAAAAAAGAATTAGTGAAAGCTAAGATTCAAGATGCTGAACTCTACAAATAATATTACCATATTTTTCGGAGTATAAGATACACTTTTTTACCCCCCAAAAGAGGGTGGAAATCTGGGTGTCTTTTATACACTGAATACAGTATTTCTGGCCTCCCGAAACCCTGCCCCCTTCACAAAAATGGACATGCATAGCCTTTAGGAGACCTGCAAAGTGCTCTTGGGGTCTGGGGAGGGCAAAACAAGCAAAAAATGAGACCGGTTTTAGCTCATTTTTGCCCCTCGCCCGCCCCCCCCCAGCTCCCAGGAGCACTCTACAAGACTCCTAAAGGCTATGCATGCCCTTTTGGGGGGCAAAAAACGGACATGTTTTTCTCATTTTTGCCCCCCTCCAACCCCCAGGAGCACTTTGCAGGCCTCTCAAACTCTCTAGATGTTCCATTTTTCACAAAAAATGAGGCATGAAGAGGGTTGAGAGTGCAAAAAAAAATTTTTTTTTTAAATTTACCTCTTCAAAATCTTGGTGCGTCTTATACTCCAAAAAATACAGTAGTCTTACTATGCTAAATTTTATTGTCATTTCTCCCTACATGAAACCACAGAGTGGTTGATCTAGCAGTACATGCTTGATTCCCAGGCCAGTTCTTTCCAAGTAAACATATGTAATCCCTCCCTCCTTTGCATATACAAATTTTCTGCTCCATGTAGTCATTCAAACTATGCAAATAGCACAATTCTAAATTTCTCTAAAATAAGCCCCAATGAGTTCAATTCTCCTTAGTATCATAATAGTACAGAAACATTTGTTTCATGTAATAAAGTAAACCTACTTGTGTTTCAAGTAATTGCCTTTCACTGGACTAGAATAAAATCGAACAACAGAGTTGGAAGGAACCTTGGAGATCTTCCAGTCCAACCCCCTGCTTAGGCAGGAAACCATTTCAATGCATGTGAGGAATTGCACTGTATGTCACATAGAGAGCATCTAGAAACAGCCATAGCAAGATAGCATGATGCAGAGCATAGTTCTTACCCCCACTTTTCGTAGAAGATCACCCACAATATTGAGAGCTGATATTCGGGCAGATGGAGTAAGGGGGCTGGTACCAAAGCCATTGGGAATAGCTGCAACAAACCCACAAATACAACAGAATAGTCACATAATTACAATGTCCAAAACTTAAGCTTTTACAACAACAAAAGGAACAAACAGCAACCCCACACCAGGATCCTTTCTGTTTCAATTTACTCATTCAATTTACTCGTGCCATAGCAATATATTTTGTCTAAATTTGATGGCCAGGAATAAAACAATTCTATATACAATACTGAGTTACATAAAATCTTATTTCCATAAAATCACTTCCCACACTTTCCTCTAAGACTGAACATGCATATTACCCAGTGTAATGCAAGGGTAAAAATACAGGTAGTCCTTCACTTATGACTGTACATTTAATGACAGTTCAAAGTTACAAGGACCTTACAACACTTACAACTGTGAAATTACCCTTGTGTTCATATGACCATAATTTGGGCACTTAACAACTTAACACCATTCAGCACCATTTGCAGCATCCTGTGGTCACATGATTGCAAATTGCCATATTTTAAGGGTGGGCCGCTTTGGGCTTTTTTGTCACCAAATTCTTACTGCTAGTGTTCTATATTACATTGCTGTTAGATAGATCAGATTTTATAGCTAAAGAGGACAAAGGGAAAAATGTTATAGATGAAATGGATTTATTTCCTTATGCTATTCAAACGTTGTTCCCTGTCCCAATATTTTGAGAACAAAAAACAGTTGTATACAGGGATATAAATAATTAAACTTGGCTCAATTTCTACTTGTAATATAAGCATTCCGTATTTCAGAAAATATACATGTATATGTTCTACCTTTTGGAGAGTTTGGAAAACTGTTTTCACAGCCTTTCCCAACAGGTGTTGCTGGCAGGGACAGTGAAGCTTGGACTGCTGAATCCATCTTTTCACAATCCAGGGTTGGGGAACTAGGAGCAGATTTCCTAGTTACTTCTTGTTGTCTTTCTCGTACTGCTAGTTCTTGCCTTAAATCTGTAAATTTTAAGAAAAAATTGTCAAACTTGTTTATTTTAGCTATGAGTATAAAAACCCCTTCCCTGTCGCCAGTCCGTTCGTTCAACTATTCTATTCATTCCTGAGACACTCATGTGCCTCACCAAAGATTAACACCACCAAATTGTAGGCCTTGTAGTTGCTTGATTTGATTTCACAGATTAAGCAGGGATGAGGATGGATTGATCCCAGGATCTGATTTTAAATAATGTGCTAATGTGCGCAATGAATGTGCTTCTTTTCAAACAGATATATGCTTGTTTGACACAGTTCATGAAATAGCCATAAAAATATAAATACATTAGATGAACTTTAGCTATGCTTCAGAACTAGAAAATTATCTTGCAACTTTCTTATAACCTAGAAAATCATACTTTGCCATTATTACAACATTAATTAGCAGCTATATATTTAGTAGTACCTCTAGCTTCATCTTTCAGTCTTTGCACAGAAACTAGCAGAGATTCCTTGTCATCCAGTTCGCTTTCCAAAAAAGCATTTCTCTCTATGGCTTGATTCAGCCTTTGTTCAAAATCTTCCAAAGAAACAATTGTGGCCCTAGAAATTTAAAAAAAAATCAGAAGAAATAAACTCTTTAAAAGACATTGAACTGTGGGAGATAAAGAAACATAAAGAAACAGAGGATTCAATATCTGTCAAAGGCAGAAAATTACTGAACAAAATATAAGTCATCCCAGGAGCTGGTTGGGTCGATAAAGATAATGCAGAACAAGATGGCAGCTCTCCATGCTAGTAATAAGTATACAGTGAATTTTAAAAAAGCAAGCTATTATCTTACTTAATAGTCTTATTCTTAATACTCTATAATCAAATACACACCTACTTGCGAGATGCTATTTTAGATACAAAAGTAGTCAAAGTGAAACCTTGGTACATATAAAATCTGTTCCCATAGTTTAGAAAACTAAACCAATTGACTAGTTTTCTTACAGAATGTTCTGAATATTAGTTAGGAGAAAGTACTCCAATATCACCCAGAAACATTGCTGTCTACTCAATCATTAAGCTTTGTTAAATAAAAAAAACCTACGTAGAAGAATTTGAATAAAAATGAAAGGAAAATATGATTCTTGTTTTTTAAATATTACTTCATGATTTTTTGAACATTTCAAAATTCCGTTTCAAAAGAAAATATAACAAATGAAAGTGGTTTGGGGAATCTGACAAACTTTAGTTTTAGTTGCAGAACTGCACCAATATCAAGAAACTGTTTATAGCACTATAAAAAAACAAAACCTGAGCAATACATGCTTTCTTCAGTCAGATAACCTGGCAATCACTAACATTCCTTACCTTTTTGCACGCTCAAGATCGTCATTGGCTTGTTCTAGCTCTCTTACATATTTATGCAATTGGTCTTTAATTGCCCGAGTCTGGCTCAAGTCATCTTCCAATAAAGACACTTGCTTATAATTTTGTGCATACTGGTGTTCAAGTTTTTCCTGAAAATATAGGACATGAAAAATTCTATATCTCTGAAATTAATCCAAGAAGTTTAAATACATTTCTATGCTACTGTCTGAATATAGCTATGCAGTGCTTTAGATCTTAAAGGAAAAAAATGCTCTGGAAGGCTCAGGCTATAAAACGTTGTTGGACCGAGCATGAAATATTCATGTTAACAACAGCTGAACAGAATAGAAAACGGTTAACTGGAACTCTTAAGGTTACAACACACAACCTAGGAAACTAAACTTCTTCAACAACCCACTGATTTGGGTTGAAATTAGTAGACTTATACTTTTATCAATCAAAGACTGCAAAAACCCAAAACAAGAGTGATTATACATCTAAGTACTATGTTCTACAGCCAAGAATCATGCAATAGCAAAAGACATTTTTCCTTCCCAAGCTGTACCTTTAAGGTTTCCACTTCCTGTTTTAATCTTTGGTTGTCTGCTTGTAAATCTCGGTTTCTTTGTTCAGCCTGTACCAGTTGGGCCTCTAATTCTGCTTCCAGTTCTCTGCTGCCTTCCTGAAATTCTGCCAGCTCTTCATGGGCCTCTTGAAAACTATAACAGGAATAATAGTAGTGAATAGAGATTTTTTCCAGGAAGATGCTTTTATTATTAATACAGATATGAGGCTATTTAGTTGTAAAGCAGAAAAAATATTTTTGAGGGGACGTGGGCACCCATACTAGACCTATTGGCACCTTCTTAATGAGAGTGCATCTTTTTCCAAACTTTTCCAAATACAAGGGAATAAAAACAATAGTGACAGGGTATAATGACCTTGTCACATTCTATTGGCATACTGTATCTTTAACTCCAATGCACATTTTCAAGGTTGCTGGCAAGCCAGGAAAAGGCATAGTTCTTTATAGCAGTATTAACAGATGCTGCCAATGTACCCACTTTCCTCTGAAGTATCCATTAGATCTTGGATTCAAATAGCTACATATCACTTGTCAATATATTAGTAAGGACTCCATTTCTCTATCAATTGCAACTATAGTACATGCCTTTATTTATTTATTTATTTTTAATTAAAGCTGTTCAGAACTTTACACACACATACACACACACAAAATGTAAAATTAGTTCTTTGGACTGTCCTTTGCCATTTATCTAATAAACTGCAACTATTGAAATTTTGTAAAGTCAGGTTAAAAGAGATAATTCTGAACAAATTAAATCCATGCAGATTTCTCCTAGAGTGGTTGGAGATGAACACACCTTGGATATTTAGTGGAAATCTATACTAGAAGATAGACATGGAGTGCTTTGTAAAGCTGATCTTCCAAGCTGCCTTTAAAACAGAGGCAAAGTCTCTCACTATCTAAGAATGAGTTTATCAAAATTAGATAGCCTTGGAAGTTAATACCATACTTCAATATTTTTTTTTTAGAAAAGAATACCCCCAGTAAAATAGACAAATGTCACAAGAGTCTGAATTAGCAGTGTTTCTGAAGTGATAAAGGCCCCATTGTTTACAAAAAGAGATTCCATATAGGGCAAGGTCACCTCCAATAGAGATTCTATTCATGTATCCTAGAGCATTAAGTCTAGTCAATTCAAGTATAATGCTATTTTTGAGATACTTGGCTTCCATTTGCAGGCTTCTGGATCACAAAGAGAACATTGTTAATGTGTTCATATATCAGACTAAAACTCATAATAACCCAGTATCAGAATCATACCTTTGTTTATATTTTAAAGTCAGCTCTTTCCAGTATGCAGCTTCTTCCACTGAAGTTGAAAACGCTGGAATTTCTTCACAATCCATGATAAAAATTACCTATAAAAAGGGACAAGTTATTTCGTTAATAAAATCATGAGATGTCCTTTTGGTTCCAGGTAAGCTCTCTGTCAATTTTTCAAAGTTATAAGACAGATCTTCTGTTCCTGCCCTCACAGGAATAATATGGTTAAACTTATTTCCATTTCAAGAAATAATTAACCAGGAAATCTAACTTTTTAAAATGAAAGCCAGAAGTGTTATTATATTTTTTCTCATGTCCAACCAAATTAAAACAAAAACTTTATTGGTGCATGCATATGAATATCTGAAAAAAATTAAATCAGAATCACAGTATCTAAAGAGAGGCATCAATTATTTCCTCAGTTTTAATAATCCACCAATTAGCTTTACAAAAATGTTAACCATAAATTTCCTTTTACAAGACATATCGTATCAGCTGCAGAGACATTTAAATTAGGGGTATTATGGGAGGGGAGGCAGCAATACATGCTACAATCTTGAACCAATCGTTTTCTATTGCTACTGATCTTTTGAAAAAAGAACAGGGGGTTATGTTCATAGATATCCCACACCCTAATCTCACTTTCAAAGATATTAAGCAACAGCTCATTCTTTTAAATTATTTTAATTGTTCCACTGCCCTTCAATCATATTCTCAGACCAGCTTGTAAAATAAATCAGTCACATAATTAGTACATTGCTAATTGCCTCCTTCTACAGAATTGTACAAATCCAAAGGCCAGCTAAATGAATACTATCAGTGGAATTAAAAAAAATCCAGATCTTCTACAGTAACACTAGTATATGTTTTCCTAAATATTCTTTCTATCCATTTTTAACATAATCAAAAATAAATTAGATTGACCTTAAATTTTTGGAGAAGAATTACAGACTTCCTCAGACCTCACATATTCATGAAAGCTAAAGCTATGAGCTAAAAAAGAACAGTGATTTCTGATAACCATCAGCCATTTTTCCCTCAGACAGAAAGTCTAGCACTTTTCAGTTCTGTGACCCACATTTTTCATTCAAGCAATGAAGGACAAATACTAGATACTCTATTGTACATGGCTGAACAGTGGAAATGTCCAAAACCCCTCCTCCCAAAAACAAGCAAAAAGGGAAAGTTGAAACTGTAACAAAAAGCCTTATAGTAGCTTTTGAACTCAGTATAACTAACTAGCCTTCAGATAAACAGTGAAAAAAGTAGTGAATGAACTGTTTGTGTTTTGCCATTTTCCTTCCAGCTATATAGGCTGTACATGGTCTAAACAAATCAACATAAACTCCCTGAACTAGAACACAAATATTTCTTTGAGAGAGCACAGAAATCTGGCAGGTAAAACAGATATCACTCGGGAAAGTATTAATTGTGCAGTGGAAGCTTTGGACTTGATAAATCTTACCTCCCGATTACTATAGTAATATCAGTGCTTCTTAGTGGAAGTGCTATTTAAAGCAATTTGCAATACTAAAAACAAACTACTGACAGAGCTTCTAAATCTCTACAGAGTACAGTTCTGCTTTTATCCCTAAGGTCTTTACTTGATTTTGCAATGTAAAGAAATAGTACCAAGACAGTAACACAGAAAAACTCCAAGATAATACAATTAAGTAGTGCAACATTAATTCAGGAAAGCATCTAAAAGTGGGTTTGCACAGTGTGCTGAATAAAATCAAACAAATCACAACACAGGATATTATTTGAACCTAGATAAAGTCATCCGTCATATTTTAATATTTTTAGCTGTGGATTACAGCTAAAAATATTAAAATATTAGAAACCATTTGTTTTCATTCACTAAGCTATGGCTTAGCAAAAAATATAAACTCAATCACATGGTCTGGAAATAACACAATTAGTTAAATGTTACACCCTAGAAATGAATAGGATGACAATGAAATCTGAATGAGGGAGAAGCCATGTTAACACTGCTTAGGTTAAAATCCAAAAAAATCATGGCTTAAACTAAAAAGTTCAAACAAAATAGTGCTCCCCACCTTACCACCCCCATTGTATATTAGTCAATGTAATTAAGAAATATTGCTATGGAGGTCTCTTAAACTGTTCATTTTGGAAAAAGTTAGTATTATTAAATAAAATGACATTAAACTGACAAGAAACCCAAGGGAATATATGCTACACTTTACAAAACATGTATTTACAAAATAAAAATAAGTTTAGGGCAAAACAAAGAGAATAATCACTATCTTGATTCATTGAAGAGATTCATTCTACATAATCAGGATGTAACAATAACAGTGGTGTTCATTAAAAGAAAAATGCTAATCTTGTAGAACCTAGAAGACATACCGAAATAATTTCTCTGAAGTTCACTCTCTAATTAACCACTTCAGGAATTGCTACAATTGGGCAAAAAACAATCTTTGGTTGAAGATTGCTTGAGTTCTGCATGTCACAAAATAAGAGTTCAAGTATCTGACATCACCACCACCCCGCTTCAAGTATATATATCAAAGAACTGTTAAATATTGTACATAAAAAAATAATAAACCTTCGAAAGGTGCCCCTGTCATGCCTTGGAGAACCATAGTGAGGCTCCAAGTTGGAAATCTGTGGACTACCAGGGGGCGGAGGTTGCCCATCCCCTCAGAAACCTCTTAACTAACGGAAGTTGGGAAAGTGGAAGGAGCCCTTCCCCCTGAATGATCGTGGATAGGGCTGCTACCTATCTCCTAAGGGTGCCATGTGAGAGCCCCTTATCCAACCCCTTTTGGAGGAACTCCAAGACGCACAGTACCGAAGCCTCACGGGGATCCGCTCCCAAGGCCCGGCATAACTCTGCAAAGACCCGCCAGGTGGAATAATAAATCCTGGTGGTGGAACCTCTGCGTGAGGCCTCAAAGGTGGAGATTACTCTCTGGGAAAGGTGGGCGTCCCTCAGGTGTTCCCGCTCAATCTCCACATGGCTAGTTGCAGCTACTGTGGCTCGGGATGCACCAGGTTCCCCTGCCTGAGGTCTACATCCCTCCCTGGGATCCTCCATGCATGTGACACTGACAGGCACATGAGGTCCACAAACCACGCCTGGCACGGCCAGTAAGACGCCACTAAGATGAGCTCCGCCCTCTCTGAGATCATCTTCCAAACTACCCCAGGGAGAAGGGGAAGCGAAGGGAAAGCGTAGAGCAGGCCCTCCGGCCATGGAGTCTGAAGAGTGTCGACCCCTTCCGTTCTCCGAGTCGGGAGCCGAGAAAAGAAACTTTCCACCTGAACATTCTGCGGTGTGGCAAACAGGTCTACCTCCGGACGGCCGAACCTGGAGCAGATGGTCTGGAACAGCTCTGGAAGAAGACTTCACTCTCCGTGGTCGACCGTGGACTGACTGAGCCAGTTGGCTTGATTATTGTTCACTCCCATGATGTGCTCCGCCCTGAGCGATTGAACAGCCCTCTCTGTCCAGGCGCTGAGTGCCATCGTCTTGGTACGACGAGCCCTGGAGTGTGTGCCGCCTTGCCGGTTGCCATGAGCCTTTGCCGCCCCATTGTCGGTTAGCACCAAGATGTCCCGGTCTCAAACATGGTCCTTGAAATGCCACAGTGCCAAGTGAATCGCTCACAGCTCCAGCCAATTGATATTGTGATGGAGGTCCATCCAGGTCCAACGGTCTTGCGCCATCCAGGACTTCAAGAGAGCTCCCCAGTACAAGCTGGCGTCTGTTGTCAGGATGAGGCACTCTGGCTCCCTGAATTTGCAGCCCTTGTGTAGCGCCGTGGAGAGCCACCATTTCAACGATAGCTGCACCTGCGGCGTCACTGGAAACCTTGCTTCGGAGTTGCTGGAGTTGGACCCCTCATGCAGCAGGAGACGCCATTGAAGTGGCCTCACGTGCAGATGAGCCCAAGGCACGTCTATGCAAGAAATGAATTTCCCCAGAAAGCTGTAGAGCACCACTACGGGAACAAAACACTGACGTATAACTTGTCTAACTAAAGCTAACGAACTAACCTTACGGCCGTGGGACAGGAACACCTTCCCCAACCTGGAATCTATGAAAGTCCCCAGGTGAAGAATCCTGGTGCTGGGGACCAGGGAACTCTTATCCAAGTTCACTGTAAAACCTAACTGTTTGATCGTAGACACTACTAATGAAATGTCCTCCCTCGCGCATTCAAATGACGCAGCCTGGACCAAAATGTCATTGAGATAACATTGGATCCTGACGGAGTGCTCTCAGAGGGAAGACGCCACCGCTGCCAGGACCTTAGTGAAGGTGTGAGGCGCGGACACCAGTCCAAATGGTAAGGACCTATACTGATAATGCCTACCTAAATAAGAGAACCTGAGGTATTTACGATGACCAGGGAATATGTTGATATGGAGATAAGCCTCCGTCAGATTGATGGAGGCCATGAATTCATTACGCCTGATCCCCGCCAAAATTGATTTAAGGGAAGCCATCTTGAATCTCCTATAGACCAGGTGAAAATTTAGAAGTTTTAGATCTAGTATCGCCCTCCATCCTCTTGAACTTTTCGGAACGACAAAGAGATTAGAATAGAATCCTGACCCTACTTAGTCTGGTCGAACCAGTTCCACCGCCCTGATATCTAAGAGGTATTGGATCGCCTGTCTCATGAGATTGTGTTTATCCCTACTCCTGGCGACTGAAAATGTCCTAAGGTGGTTGGGAGAAATGGAGAGGAATTCCAGGTGCAGACCAAATCTGATGGTGTTCAAAACACAGGCATCTGTGGTAAGCTCAGCCCAGGCACCAGCAAACAGGATCAGTTTGCCGCCTATGGGTGGGGTTGCCATTGACCTACCTGCCCTGGCGGTAGGGACGGCCACATCCCCCCCCCCCGAAAAGGCCTCTTCCCCTGGGATTGGAACTAGGCCTATCCCTCGGGTAGTGTCTATCCGACTGATTGAAAAATACCTGCTTTGTTGAACTTCCTGATCTGACTGACGATAGGGCTGCTTCCGAAAATAAGGTGCAGACTTCTGCTCCGACTTCTTTGCGGGCATGGGCATGACCTTCTTCTTATTCTTGTCCTCAACGAGGATTGGATCC